AATGGATTCTTAATAACATTGAGATAGATTAGCAACATTACAAAAATTGCACAGAATGTACTCAAAATCTGAACCCATCTTTTTGTTTCATCATTAGCTGCTCCTTGGTATTCAGATGAGGTCTCAGTATAATAATGTAGCATTTGGGAAGAAAGATGCAGCCCAGTAAGCCCAGACTGGAGGCCAGGATAGAGAAGACCTGCACAGCCACCATGTATTTCCCCTTCGTGCTCAGGTAGGAGGGCACAAAGGACACCCAAACACTGCAGAACACCAGCATGCTGAAGGTGATCAGCTTGGCTTCATTGAACGCCCCAGGCAGCTTCCTGGCTAGGAAAGCCACAGTGAAGCAGATGGCAGCCAGAAAGCCCATGTAGCCCAGGGCAGCATAAAACATGGCGACAGACCCCTCATTACATTGCAGTATGATCTCTCCTGACTGGGAGTACATGTCAGAGTCTGGGAAGGGGGGAGAGATACCCAGCCAGAGAGTGCAGATGCCCACTTGAATACTGGAACAGAAAAAGACAATGAAGTTGGCCAAGCTCTTCCCCAGCCATTTCCTCATCCTGCTCCCAGGCTTTGAAGCCATGAAGGCCACCACCACTGTGACAGTTTTGGCCAATACCGAAGAGACGGCAATGGAGAAGATGATGCTGAAGGCAGTTTGTCGGAGAAGGCAGGTCACCTTCTGGGGTTTACCAATGAATAGAAAAGAAGAGAGAAATGAAAGTAGGAGGGAGATGAGGAGAATGTAGGAGAGGTCCCGATTGTTGGCTTTGACCACTGGAGTTTCTAAGTATTTAATGAAAATTCCCAAAACAGAACTCGCAACTAGGATGAAGAAAATAGTGAGAACATTTAGGATGATCCCCAAAGGTTCTTCATAGGACAGGAAGGTGATATGCTTGGGAACACACTGATTTCTGATCTTGTTTGGATGTTGATCTTCTGGACACTTATGACAATGACTGGCATCTGAAAAGAACATATTAGCTTCAGCATCACCATATATATGATAATATTTGCTTCTTTACATTCATTGAGAATATAATCAAAAGTGCGCACTTACTTGCCAGAAAGGCAGGAGAAGATACAGGTGAGGGAGAAGTCAGGAAGTAGCTATGCATAATAGGGATAAGAGTTAGGGCTGCCAGGTGCTTCCCATGCTACCAGTGGAGGGGGAGCTCCATGCCACTGCCCAAGATCTTTTCTTGCATGCGCAAACTCCGCATGCCACAATGGTGTCACCCAGAGGTGATATTTCACCAGGCACGTTTTGCAGAGGACACTTTAGCATTTGGCCAAAAACTCTATGGTCACCATAGAGTTTTTAGCCAAATGCTAGAGTGTCCCCCATGTGACATGCCCGGTGAAATGACTTCACCTCTGGGTGATGTCATCATGCTGGGCATGTCTGGTGGGACAGGGCTCTTTGGGGGTGGGGCTCCGCCTGCTGACCAGCTGGCCAATGGAGGACTGGGGCTCCAAAATCGGGGGAACCCTGCCCTATCAGGGGATAGCAACCCTAGACAAAGTTGGGAAACTTTCAGAGTCAGATTGTGCTCCTTTATTGTGGAATGTCCTGGGTTTCATGC